TGTTGGAGTATTTTTATTAGGGTCTATATTAGTTGACATCTTTGGGGTTCACAGATCTTGACTCATGTATTCTTCAGCTCTGGAAACTTTTCAGCAATGATGTCTGTTACTTTGTCATTGGTTGCCTTCCTCTCCTTCTAGGACTCAGGTGGTTCTTGTCTTATTCCTCTTGAGATCATCCCAAAGTTCCTTATCTGCTATTTGTTTATTTGAGGTTCATTTTCCAACTTCTTCTATTGCTTGAGGGTTTTTTGTATCTCATCTTCAAGCTCACTGATTCTGTCTTAAGCAGCTTTTACTCTGCTGTTGAGAGAATCCTTTAGTTTATCATCTTTCTTGCTGACTTTTAAAATAATGACATTTCTGCTTTTAATTTTCTTATTTCTATTTTTACATCCTCATATTTCTTTGAGGTTAGTAAACAGTCTCACCATTTGGTCTCTGAATTCTTTATCAGAGAGTTTATGTAGATGGATATTCCTTGTTGAGGCTTCAAGGCTCCTATCTTCATCCACTTTTCATGGTAGAGTTCTACACTGTTTTCCCAAGGTTCCTGTGGTAGTCTGGAGGTGATTCTTTCCAGAACTCTAAGAGTCCTTCCCTTCACTGTTAGGGAAAACCTTGGGTGGAACCAGGTGGGTGATGCTTCTTTCTTTTCCTGTCAAAGATAATGCCTTCCAATTGCTATTCCTGTGTATTTGTGTGGAGACTCTTTCACGGATGAGGAAATGCGTTTTTTTGCCTGACCTTCTGCTACTCTATTCTTTGATTAGGGATGTATTATTTCCTGCAGTCACAGCTAGTTTTGTAGGGTTTTTTCCGGAATGTTGATTGGAGTAGGGGCTAATAGACTATTGGTGTAATGTGGTAGTCAGGCTGTCCTGGTGAGTGTTAAGTATAAAAGGCCGAGATGTGGATTTTATGGGTTAGGAAGGCAGAGATTAACTGGTGGCCATGTTAGCTACTACCCAGAAGGTAAACATCATTTACCGCTGTCTGACATGTGGGAGGAGTCAAGCATTAGCAGCATTCAGGATCTCTTATAGAGTTTGTGTTCAAATTCCATGTAGGCATGATTGCTTGCAAGAAAATTCTTTCCCATAGGGCATTCATGTGGGAAGGCTGCCTGTACTAGTGAATTTTCTTCTAGAATGGTCCCAAGGCACTCCTTCACTGTTGGTGGGAATGCCGACTGGTTCAGTCCTTCTGGAAAACAGTATGGATGATTCTCAAAAAATTAGAAATTGAGCTCCAATTTGACCCAGCAATACCACTCCTAGGAATATATCCCAGAGAGGCAAAAATGTATAGTCGAAGTGACATCTGCATTTGTTTATTCATTGCAGCACTCTTTACAAGACCAAGAAACTGGAAGAAACCTGAATGCCCAAGAACATATGCCTGGTTAAAGAAACTTTGGTACATCTACACAATGGAGTACTATGTAGCTGTTAGAAAAGATGAAGTCATAAAATTTGCATACAAGTAGTACAACATGGAAAGAATCATGCTAAGCGAAATGAGTCAGAAAGAGAGGGATAGACATAGAAAGATTGCTTTCATCTGGGGTATATAAAGTAAAAAAATATGAGATTAATACCCAAGAATAGCTGAGATCAGCACCAGGAGGATTACTCCATAGCTTAGAGGCCACCCGGGCATTCTAGGGGAAAGGGCAGCTCAGATAGAGAAGGGAGCACCAAATAAAGGGTGTTTGGAGGATCTTCCCAGGAGGGGAGATGCATGTTGAAAGTAGACTATGGACTGAACATGTTTGCCACTCAATGCCTCTTTTGCAGACCACAACACCCAAAAGGAGAGAGAGAACAAAAAATGGAATGCCCTGCCACAGAGGCAGGGTGGGATGGGGGGGAGGTGGGAGGGATATTATCCATGGTGGTGGAAAGTGGGCACTGATGGAGGAATGGGTATTTGATCATTGTATAATCGAAACCCAAGCACAAAAAATTGTGAATCTACAACTGTGCTTCATGGTGTTTCACTAATAAAAAGAAAAAAAAAAAAGGGTCCCAAGGTGGTTCACATGGAGAGGACACCTGCAGTACCCCTGACTTTTTTTTAAAAGCCTTTCCTGTGTTTTATTTGGTATAATTACCCATTTAAATAATATGACATTTATAAATTTGTTTTATAGATGAAATTTTATAACCATGTATTCTGTAAGGTGCTTTACAAATCTTATATTTTATCCTTATTGCAAATCTCAGCTTTGACATTATTATTCTCTTATCAAAGGTTAAAAAAACACTGAGACTTTGATTACTCTCACAGGAAAGTAGTGATCTGATTCAGGCCTACTTAATCACTTAATCACTTAATCCCCGTTATTCATCAATTTATTCGAGCGGGTGCCAGTAACGTCTCCATTCATCCCAGTTGCGTGCTAGCGTAGCCCAATGGTATCTGTTCGTTCTAGGAACATGCAGAGCCTCAAACCAATCATTTAGGGTCTTGACGAAGAAGTCTGACCATCTTATAGGTGGGCGTCCACGTGATCTTTTGATGTCTCGTGTAATCCAATCAGTAATGGCTCTAGTCCAGCGGTGTCTGTAAACCTCATTACATGTCCAGCCCATCTGATTTTTGATGTCTTGGCAAATGAGACAGCGTCCCTGATTCTTGAGCATTGACGAAGATCAGAACTCCGGATTCTATCTCTCATTTGAGTGAATCGTGATATTCCAAGCATAGTTCTTTCGATTCCTCTTTGAGAGACCCGAATAGTGTTCTCATCCTGTTTTCGTAGGGTCCAGGTCTCTGAGGCATATGTTAATGCAGAAAGAATAGTGGAATCAAAGAGATGTGCTTGTAGCTGGAGGTTCTTTGTCCTTTTAGTTATTTCTTCAATGCTCTTGAAGGCATTCCAAGCCGCTCTCTTCCTCCTGCGCAACTCAGGTGCCAGGTCATTCATCATGTTGATTTCTCGACCTAGGTATATATAACTGTTGCATTCGGAGATGGTGGTTCTGTTGAGAGCGAATGGAGCATCAGGAACAAGGCTGTTTCTCATAAACATTGTCTTTGTAAGATTCAGCTGTAGTCCGACCTTTCCACATTCACGGTCAAAGTCATTCAGCATTTGTGCTGCTTGGCTGATGTTTGGTGTTATTAGAACAATGTCATCAGCAAAGCAGAGGTGGTGTAGTTGCCTACCATCTATCTTCACTCCCATGCTCTCCCATTCCAGTCGTTGCATGATGTTCTTGAGGGTGGCATTGAAGAGTTTTGGTGAAATGGTATCACCCTGCCGAACCCCTCTCTTGATATGGATGATTACTTCTTTGTAGAATGGTGAGATCTTGGTAGTGAATCCGCAATAGAGCTCACGAAGGATCCTGATGTATTGAGTTTGTACGCCTTGTTTGGCCAGGGCTTCTATGACCGCTTCCATCTCAACAGAATCAAAGGCCTTCTTTAAATCAATGAACGTTAAACAGAGCGGCATCTTGAACTCCCGAGAAACCTCAATGAGCTTAGTAATCGTGTGGATATGGTCGATGGTACTGAATCCTTTTTGGAATCCAGCTTGTTCACATGGTTGTCCTTCATCTAGTGTTCTGCTAATCCTATTCAGGATGACTCAAGTGAATAGTTTGTAGATGACAGACAATAGGCAGATTGGGCAATAGTTGCCAATGTCGTGGATGTCTCCCTTCTTGTATAGTAGTACAGTCCTGCTGGTTTTCCACTGGGATGGAACCTTGCATTCAGACAGGTAGCATGTGAAGATCCGAGCCTATGTATTGATGAGAATTGTTGGTAAGTTCTTCAGGTGTTCAGGTCTGATCTTGTCTGGGCCAGGTGCTCTTTGTTTCTTTATCCAGAGATGGCATGTTGGATTTCGAAAGGGAGCACATTGGGAACGACATATCCATCATGTGGTATGTGGTATGTGGGCAAGTGGACGTGGCTATTAAAGAGATCTGAGTAGAAGTCATGAATAATCTTCTCCATTGCCCTTCTGGAAGATGTGATAGATCCATCATGATGTCGGAAGGCAGTCATCTTGGTTTTGTAGTTGGTGAAGGACAGGCGGGCATTACGAATGCTTTTCCCAGCTTCTGCCGCATCTACCAGAACTGCTGCTCTCCTGTTTTTGAGGTCATCCTTGATGGCTTCTCTGCACTGTTTTGCCAGTTCGGATGTTCGCTTGTGGTTGCCTGAGGCATGTGCCAAGCCACGTTGGCGAATAAGTTCAAGAGTGTTCGAAGAAAGGCGTTTTTTTTGTGGTTATCTCTCTCTTGGCATTCCTTGCACAATCATGGAGGTGCTGAATCATTCGATCGTATTCCTCATCAATGTTGTCAATGACGGCATCTTCCCATGTTGCCGCAACAGAGCCAAAGAGCTCCCAGTTGGTGGTTGTTCTGGGAGTCCTCTTCTTAAACCTTGCATTCTTTTCTCCTCGTTCTGTGAGGTAGAATTTTGCACGAAGAAGACGGTGGTCTGATCCCGTTTGGAATTTTGGGACAACAGCAACATCGGTTAGGCAAAACCGCCGATTGAATATGATGTGGTCTATTTCATTGTGGAACCATCTATCGGGAGTCTATCCAGGCCTAGCCATATATAAAAGTTGCTCTTAGTCAATACAGTGTATTGTAGTGGTTTCTATTTTAGCAGCATTCATCCCCAAAAGTGCTGAATTGGGGTAAAATAAGAATTACACTGTTTTGCAATCTGGTGCTGTAGAAACATGGTAACATTTTAAATAAAAGGTACAATTTGAAGAAATCAAAGAGTTGTCAAGGTTAAACTGAATATCATGCATCTACCATTGCTTGGCAGATCTAGGATCAATTATCAGAATTTTGATAACCTTGTATGTTACAGCTTTAAAATTTTAATCTGGAAGCCAGTCATTCATATATGTGAAATCATATATAGCTTGTGTTTCATTCTGTATTTCCTATAGGCAAAAACTAAACAAAAAACACCCAAAACCTGTACAATAAGGATTTTTTTCTTTTTAATTACAGTGTGATGTATCCTGTTTTGATCCTGGAGTTCAACCCTGTGGCTTGGATTTATTTTAGTAGTATCCATCTTTGATCTATGTACTAACTAGACATCAAGAAAAGATATGAGGAGATTTGTTTACTGCAAGGTGGTCTTAGCCACTTCGTTAATGTGGGTTCTGGTTGATGTCTTCTTACTCCTGTACTTCAGTGAATGTAACAGATGTGATGACAAGAAGGAGAGATCTCTGCTACCTGCACTCAGGGGTAAGTGCCTATGAAACAAATATTGCTTTTATAGAGATGAGTATGGTGGAGACTTTTGACAAAAATGAAACCCCAGACCTTTTTTTTTTAAGATTACTGGTTTAAAAAATGAATTTGCCAAATCATTAATATACTTTTTTAAACTGTAGGGAGTTTACATTTTTTGGTCTCAGAAGTCTTGTTGAAAGGAAAAAGTGAGTCTTTAAGGTACTTTTCAATTCTTATAATTCCATTGTGTTGGGAATGTGTCAAAAGGACAGTTTAATAAACATTCAGATTTGACAGAATTGTCAGTTTAGGTCTCCGGAATCATAAGCCCTCAGAGACAAAAGCAAAATATAAAATGGGGAAATAGTAAACTGAGATGGTGAGGATTCTAGCAAAATATAATTACACATTATACCTCTAAAGATTTCCAAGAATAGTACACACACACATATAAAGACACACACAGACACACACACGGACACACACACAGACACACACACATTTCTTTTTTCAAAACAAAGTATGACTGATGGCCAGATACAACTTGTGGACCTCAACAGTGCTTGCCTAGATTAAATGTAAAAGATGTAAAATATACTTTTAAATACATAATAGTCACTTTTTTGTGTGTTTATGTGGGTCTAGAAACAACCAAGGATCTCACACATGTTAGAAACAGTTTTTAATTTTGATTTTTTAAATTTTTTAAATTTTGATCCTCATTCTCAGTCCTAAAATTACTTTAAACTCATTATTTGCCTCTTTATGAACCAGCTTCAAAGACTAGAAAAGAGTAAGTTCTAAAAAATGATAATGATTTGCATTATGGTGATTCATTAAGTCATGAATTTTTATTTTCTACTGATATTCCAAGTAGTTTTCTCAAAGATTTTTGTTGATTTCTAGATCTAGAAATATATTTATAAATTATTTCTAAGAAATGATTGCTCCAAATGAAAGATGTTTGAAATTAATTTTATTCTCTTGGAATTGAACAAATTTTTCTTTGTAATGCAGTTTGTACTGATTCTTTCATTTGTAAAAGTTTGCTTTATTAATATAACAAAATGTGGGCAGGAGCAAGAGTACAATGGGGAAGATGCTAGCTTTCCATTCAGTTGTCCTGAGTTAAATTCCCAGTACCCTACATGGCCAGTTCCTTAAGGAATGATCTCTGAGTGCAGAGCCAGAATTAAGCCTAGAGGACTTCCACAAATGGAATACACACACAAAAAAGAAAACAAAAGATGACAAAATGTAAGCCTTGAGTGCCAGTGTAAATGTTAGAATGTTTTGGTAAATTATTTCTCGAGATGATATTTATATTTATGCACTTTTAATACTATACACATGTTTGATGTTATTTCTTAAAATGCATATAGGAATATAATGTTACTGATACTATCTAAGGGGTTTTCAGAGAACACTAAGGAGAATTTTCAAAATTAATTATGAGAATAATATTTTAGACATTATGAGTTTGCAACATATTGCAGTTCAATTATCTTACTTTTTATGAAGTGTTTCTAATCTTTTACTATATTGTTTGACTAGTAGAAAGATATTTGGAGATGATTGAGACTAAATCTATTATGTAGTTTCTGTGAATTTTGTTTTGTATGCTAGAATTTTTCCGAGAAGAACTTTATGAGTCTATCAGTTTTTAATAAATGAACTTGGGGATGGATTTGCTGATCTTTGGTTAGAATCCCAGACCAAAATAGGCTTTGTCTGTTTCTTTGTTAGGCTTGGTTGAGCTGTTGTTTGACTGAAAGTGGAGATGTAGTTTAATGGATCATGTCAGTTTGGAATGATTGCTTTGTCATTTGTTGAATGGCGACATCTAGATTGGTGACAATGAAAAGTTATAATCTGATTCAGCAAAACTGTGACAAACTTTTATGCAAATAAAAAAAGTATAGTTATGTTGACTTAAATCCTAATGCTTAGTCTTAAATTTTGAAATGTAAAGTTTAATGATACAAGGAAAAATAGTCATTTTATCCTGTACTTGTAAAATTAAATTGCACTTTTTACTTTTAAAGTTTATTAAATATTTTGTGCCAGTATGAATGAATTTTGACAATAGTATAATGTCCTTCAAACCTGATAAAGATCATAATAGTTTTAAAATGCATGTTAAGCCAAGTAAATGTTTAAATTTTTACACGTTTGGAATATATAGAAATGCAACACAACTTCTATTGTCATATAGGCCATTATGAGAATAGGATTTAGGTTGTTTATAATGTGTGTGTTGGGAGATAGGACAGGGGTTGGGAAAGTTTTAATTGAATAGAAGCATCGTAAGGGTCCTAGATATATCTTGGGTGTAGACTTCTTTACTTATTACTTTACAAATAAATACAAATGACTAAGAGCCAATTGATTGATATAAAATTTGGGAAGCTACTGAGTGGGTTTAAAAGACAAAGTGGCACCACCACTTTGTGTTACAAAAGATCACTGTGGATTCTTATGGAAAATTCAATGTATAAGAACCATTTTCTTTGGGAAGTTGTCTCAACATCCATACATTCTGTGCAGAAGATATACCTTCATAAAGCAGTGTAATGATAGGTGTGAGAAAAGTGATCATATTGAGTTATTTCAGTTAAGGGAGTAGAGCTGGATAATTGGCTAGTCTGGGTGATGTGGTAAAGAAGGTGTCAAAGATAAGTCTCAAATTTCATCCAAGGCATTAGTTTGATCCTCTTTCCTGAGAGAGAGAAAATATTAGAGAGGGTTCTTGATGGTGGACCTTGGTTTTAATTTTAAACTTTTATGTTTTATTATGTTTTATGGCTTAGGCAACTAAATAAAATTGTTCAATGGGAAGCTGATTACATTGTTAAACCTAAATATTGAACCATTAGTTTTTTTGTGTTTTATTTTTTATTTTTTGACTCACTCCTGGTGATATTCAAGAGGTTCTTATCACTCTGAATTTAGGAATTAATCCTGACAGTGCTCAGTGAATCATATGAAGAGTTTCTGTCTGGGATCAAACCTGTGTCCATTTCATGCAGGGCAAGCACCCTACCCTCTGTACTATTGCTCTGCCCCCCTCAAACCATCAAATTTATAGGTATTTTTTTCTAAAATAAATCATGGATTATGATTTATATTTTCTACTAAGTCAAGATTTTAATTTTACATATCAATCATTAAATTATGCTTAAAAAGATTATTTCAGGAACTTCATGCAAGCATGTTGATCTGTTTTAATAGCACACTCTTTATTAGCCTACCATTCAATATTGATAAATCATTTCTCTTACCAAATTTTCTCAAGGATTACTTTAGGTGACATAAGTACATTTTAGGTGAGCATATCTATTTTTTTGTTTGTTTTTGATGCCATACCATGCTGTGCTCAGAACTTTCTCCCGACTCTGCTCAGCCATCACTCCTGGTCGAGATTGGGGTACTATATAAGATGAGCTAGGGAATGAACCCAGGTTGGTCACATATGTGAAAGTATCTTTTCATACTGTCTCTCCAGCCCTGCATGTAAATTTTTTATTCCATATTGGATCATCAAGAACTAAAATGCAATGAATGATACGTCTAACTCCTAATGTGTCTGGAATGGTAGCTGATGGTACTTCCAGTTTGAGAAATTCAAATACATGTTTGAAAATAAAAACTTTCTTAAAGAATAGAGTTACCTTAACACACCTGGAAATGTTTGGGATTGTGAAGAAGATTCCATGGGCTCTGTGACATGGTCTATACAGTTGTCTGTCCTACTAAGGGCTATATTTTCAGAGAGATTAGTTAGTCTTTCTTGATCTTCCTTGCCATGTATAAAAGGAAATAAATGAATTATGATTGAAGAATCATGTTAGCTTACAGGTGAAAGAAGCATGATGTTAGTTTACAAGTGAAAGAGTACAAACATTTCTAGCTTTTATTTTCCAATAAAAATATGGAAAGTGAATTATTTAAAAGTAACTAGTTTTCCGCAGACCAAAGGAACAGGGTTGAATATCTTGACACCTTCCCCCAAATATATGATCATCTAATCTTTAATAAGGAAGCAGGAAATGTGAAGTGGAGCAAAGAAAGCCTCTGTAACAAATTGTGCTGCCAAAAATGGACAGCTATATGCAAAAAATAAATGGGTTCAGGTATCTCCCTACAAAGGTAAGATCATGTACAAAAGTAAGATCAAAATGGACTAAAGACCTTAACATCAGACTGGAATCCATAAGGTACATTGAAGACAAGGTTGGCAAAACCCTCCACGACATTGAAGAGCACGGTATCTTCAAAGATAACACGCCACTGGCCAAGCAAGGGAATATAAAGACAGACAAATGGGACTATCTTAAACTAAGAAGCTTCTGCACCTCAAAAGAAACAGTGACCAAAATAGAATGACATTCTACAGAAAGGGAAAGGATATTCACCCAATACCCATCTGACAAGAGGTTGATATCAAGGATATACAAAGCATTGGTTGAACTCCACAAGAAGAAAACATCCAACCCCATCAAAAAATGGGGCAACAAAATGAACAGAAACTTTCTCAAAGAAGAAATCCGGAAGCTCAGATAGAGAAGAGAGTACCAAATGAAGGGTGTTGTGAGGGTCCTCCCAGGGTGGGAGAAGCATGCTAAAAGTAGTCTATAGACCAAACATGATTGCAACTCAAAGCCTCTCTTGCAAAACACAGTACCCAAAAGAAGAGAGAGAGAACAAGGGGGAATACCCTGCCACAGAGGCAGGATGGGACAGGGCGGGGGAAGAGGGTGGGGGGGATGCTGGGACCCATGGGGATGGATGACGGGCACTGGTGGAGGGATGGGCACTTGATCATTGTATAACTGAAACCCAAGCACAAAATTTGTAAGCCTATAACTGTACCTCATGGTTTTTCACTAATAAAAAAAAGAAAAAAAAACTTTCTCAAAGAAGAAATCGGAATGGCTAAAAGGCACATGAGAAAATGCTCTACATCATTAATCATCAGGGAGATGCAGATCAAAACCACAATGAGATACCAT